CCCGCCATCACCCCTTTCCTCTAGTCCCTGTATTTGCATACAGGTAGTCCTCGACTTAATGACCATAACCGAGCTCAAAATTTCTGTTGCTAAGTGAGACAGCTTTGACCCAATGTACGGCCTTTCTTGCCACGATTGTTAAGGGAATCCCGGCCGTTAACACGGCTGTTAAGCGTATCTAGCTTCCCCATTGACTCGGCTTGTCAGAAGGTCGCAAAAGGGGATCGTGTGACCCCGGACACTGCAACCGTCATAAATATGAATCCGTTGCCAAGCGGGATGAATTTTGATCACGTGACCACAGGGGCACTGCAATAGTCATAAGTGTGAAAAACGTTCATAAGTCCCCTTTTTTCCGGTGCCGTTTCAACAGTCACTAAGTGAACCGTTACAAGCCCAGGACTATCTGTACTGCGCCAATCCAGTCTAAACATCCGGCTGACCATGTGGCGAATTTGGGTCACGTGACCGTGGGGATGCGGCCAATGGCCGTAAGCGTGGAAAACTGGTCATAAGTCACTTCTTTTTAACGCCGTTAATAACTTCGAATGGTCACTGAATGATCTCTTCCCCGAGCGGCTGATTAAGATCCGCCGTTTTCCTTTCCTCAACCTGCTTCTTCCGCCCTTCAGAGCAGAGGTGAGACCGCTCACACTCCCTAGCGAGGGAGGGCTGTAAGTGCCCGGCGTTGGCACCGCCTCGAGATCCCCTGCGCCTTTCTCTTCTTGTGCCCGCTGTGGGTACCCCGACGGGTGTTGGCTGGGGCTAACATGGGCCCTAAGGTTGCCAGCCCTCTTCCCTGCTGCTGCTGCTGCTGCTGCTGGAGCCTGTGACTCAGGCACGTGGGCATGAGGCTTCCTCCGACTGGTTTGGGCAGTGCTGAACCAGCGCCAAGACCGAACGGCTGTGACTGGGTGGGGCTTTGAGGGCTCCCTGGTTCTCCTTAGGCTCCCTCTCCTCTCCCGTCTCTCTCTCATGTCTCTGCAGTGCAGCAGACTCTGCGATCTGACACCACCGCCAGCAGCAGCAGCACCGGCAGCGGTGTGGCAGCGGCAGCTCCCATGTTCCCGGCCTTGTGGGGGTGGGGGTCTGTCCCCCGCCTTGCCCATGTTTGTCGAGCCCGGAGGTCCTCCGTGCCATGCACCGGCCGGTTTGCAGGCTGATCTTTTCTTCCCCCTTCCTCCCCCCACCCCTTCTCACCCCCCACCCCCGCCCCCCCAAATCCCTTTCGGGGAAAACCAGGCAGATGAAAACTCTCCACCGCTTGCAAAAACCCAGCCTGGGATTTTCCTGTTTGGGTGAGTATCATTCGTCTCCCTGGCTCGTTCTGTGGCTCTTCTTCGCTGCACGCCTTGAGTTAGGAGTGGGATAAGGGGGCAGGTTTACTCCCCAAAGAGCCTCTTTTCTTTCGGGTACGAAGAATTCGGGGAGAGGTGTGGGGGGGGGGGGGGTTGCTGAGGCCGAAAATAAAGTTCCAAAGCTGTTTTGTTTTGCTTCTGTTCTTTTTTTCCTGTCTTGCAAACGTATCGGTGGGATCGGGCCTGTGCTTAAAAATAAAAAACCCCTCTCTGCCTTTCCCAAGAGCTCGTTTGTGTAAACAGTTCAGCCAGGCATACTTGGGTAAAAAAGGGGGAGGAGGGGGCTGCTAGTTTTGTCATCTTCAGAAGTTCCTGAGATGGGATGGAGGAGGGGGAAACGGCTATGGTGGATTGAGAGACCACCATGACTTGGGACGAGTGTGTAATAGTTCACTCAGGACTTTCTCAGGCTCCCAAACAGCGGTACCCGGACTCTTGATTTCAAAGCGGTACCCTTGACTTCAGAGCTGCTGTCCTATTCGTTCACCTAAAAGCGCTGCTTGTCCTGTTGTCCCGGATTAGGAGATTAGTATTTTGGTCCGGTATAGCAGGGGTCATTTGAGATGACACCTCTTGATTGGCTTAGCCCCAGTGACTTCCTGTAGGAAGAGATGCTGCAGCCCCCCCCCTCCTCCTCCCCCCCCCCTCTCTCTACACCTGAGTGTGATGCTGCACCACAAGCACATTGGCTACCGGGCAAGGGGAAAGTGTGGGAGAAAATTGTTGCAGACGGTGCAGTTGTGTTCAGAGCAGCTAAATCTCTTCCCCGCCCCAGAGACAAAGACAGCCTGAACTAAATAGGGTAAATATTTCGGAGGGGACGTCTTGGTCACATCGTGCAGCTCAAAAAAGGCTGGGGAAGACGGAACTCCCCTTTTTGGGGAGAGCGGTTAGTGCAGAGGAAGGGAATAGGTAAGATTGGGCCAGACCTCCAACAATTCAGCCTCCAACAATTCAACCTCCAACAATTCATGAGCCGCCGTAGAGCAAGGATAGGCAGCTATGGCAATTTTACGACCTGTGGAGTTCAGCTCCCAGAATTCGCCAGCCAGCACCAGAGTTGGAAATCCATACAAAATTTTTAAGTTGCTGTGGTTTTGGCGGGTGGGGGAACTATTTAGAAACTCTGCTTTTAGGTAGGTGGTTCTCAGAACGGTCTTTCTCTGTGGCTGTGGAACACGCAACTGAATGTCCTTTTACAGTTGGAGACGGCGATGTATAGGGTGTAGTGGTTGGGTTTTGAAACTCAGGGTTAACTATAGCAGGGGTCTCCAACCTTGTCAACTTTAAGACTTCAACTCCCATAATTCCTCAGCCATCTTTGCTTGGTTGACAAGGTTCGACACTCCTGATATATAGTGTATATTAGGGGGTCCCTAAAGCTCTGCTGGCTGGAGAATTCTGGGAGTTGAAGTCCACAAGTCTTAAAGCTGCCAAGTTTGGAGACCTCTGGTGTATATGATATCTACTATTTAAACAGCTCATGGAAATTGGACTGTGGCCCTATTTTAGCCAAAGACGGACAAGTATTATATTTTTCAGGGAATCGCTCTGCTAAGAGTCTGTCCTCCAGGTATTAATATGGGACTCTTTCACTCATTTCTTTGAATTTCCTCCCGAGCATCATTTTAGAGCTGGCTCAGGGCCTCCTTTGGTGCTACATTCATTTTTGGAAAAGAGACACCCGTTATAGGATGGAAGTAGTTGAATGTAGATAGAACAGAACATAAAAGTTGGAGATAACAAAAGAAATTGGAGATGTTTCAAGTGCAGGTAGTCCTTCACTTACAACTATTCATTTAGTGACTGACCGAAGTTGCAACGCCACAGGAAAAAAAAGTGACTTAGGACCGTTTTTCACACTTGGGACCATGGCAGCATCCTCATTGTCACGTGATCAAAATTCAGGTGCTTGGCCAACTGACTCATATTTATGATGGTTGCGCCGTCCCCGGGGGTCACGTGATCTCCTTTTGCGACCTTCTGACAAGCGAAGTCAGCGGGGAAGCCAGATTCCATTAACAGCCATGTTGCTAACTTAATAATTGCAGCGCTCCACTTAACAACGGTGGCAAGAAAAGTTGTATATGAGGTACGGCTTTTGAGCTAAACTTCACTTAACGATTGTCTCGCTTAGCAACAGAAATTTTGGGCCGCTCAATTAGGGTCAATTAAGTTGAGGGGGCTACCAGTAGTTGGAATTCGCCCTCCCATCCCTTTCAGTTTGCTTGCTGCAAGTGAGGTGGTTTGATGAGCAGATTCAGTGTCTACACTTCATCCCTTTCCAGTTACACCTGTGGAGCCTTGTGAGCCACAAAGTCAATTTTACAAAATCTGGGTAGCATTTCTGGGCACTAAAATCTGCTCCTCAAACTTCAGAGACACAGAGTCTGTCCTGTAGGTAGTATTGTGGGAAGTACAATCCAACTTCAGGTGGAGAGAATCAGAATGGAGCTGGAAGGGGCCTCGGAGGTCTTCTAGTCCAGCCTCCTGCTCAAACAGGAGATACCATTCCAGACAAGTCTTTTCTTAAGCATCTCCAACGATGAAGAACCCACAATGTCTGTTCCCCTGGTTAATTGCCCTCCCTGTTAGAAAGCTTCTCCTTAATTCCAGGTTGCTTCTCTCCTTGATTCGTTTCCATCCATTGTTTCTTGTCCTGCCCTCAGGTGCTTTGGTAAATAAGTTGACCCCATCCTCTTTGTGGCATCCCCTCAAATACTGTAATCACGTCCCGTCCTCCCCCCCACCCCCGACCTTCTTTTCTCTAGACTCGCCAAATCCAAATCCTGCAACTGTTCTTCATACTGTTCGTTTTAGTCTGCAGAATCCCAGGGTCACCTGATCACGTTTCGCGACCTGTTCACAACCATGTTACTAACTTGAAAAAACTCTGGCGATTCACTTAACAGATAGGGCAAGAAAGGTCGTGAAGTGGGACAAAACTCACTTAGTGGCTGTCTTGCGTAGCAAGCAGCAATTTTGGGCTCCCTTGTGGTCATAAGTTGAAGGACTTACCTGCATTCCCATAGCAATTGGAAGTGAGAGTTGTATAACTTCCCTTCTTTGAGGGGCGGGAGGGAAGGCTACTCAGATTACTTCTGGGGCTGGCTTTTCATTTTACCTCGGCTTGTTTATCGGTTTACAATTTCAATCTTTCGTCCTGTTTTGTACACGTTCTTCCTGGGTCTGTTTTATTACTTTCCTCGAGCGATGATGTTTCTCAAGACTTTGTCCTTTGGGCACGTATTTTGACCGCACTTTTTTCTTAACCCAAATAATATTTTTTTTTTTTTACATTGTCAGGCCACAGAATTCTGAAAAAAAAACCCAAAAACCCCTTTTTAATCACGCTTTGGGAGGGTGTGGGGGGGTGCACCTGTGGTAAATTGACATAAAGATCCAGGTTTTCAGCTATTCCTACAGGCCCTCCTCACCTTGTATGGCGGAGGTCCCCAAACGTGGCAACTTTAAGACTTGTGGACTTCAGCTCCCAGAATCCCTCAGCCAGCTAGTTCCACGCGTCTTTTTAAGTTGCCGAGTTCGGGGACCCCTGTTGTATGGCGTCCCTCAGCATTTTGCCCTGTCTGCGGCTGCCCGTGTTCGTTTTGATGATGCTTCTCTCTGTCTCCCTCTCTGCAGATAGTAAGGGGATCCTTATGCAGCAACACGTGAAATGAACAAAGCTCCACAGCCCTCCGGAGGAACCCCGTCAGCCCCACACCCCTCCCCTTCTCCCGGACTTCCACAGGTAAGGATTCTCCTCCCCCCGCCCGCCTTCTGCCCTGGGTTGCTTTATCCACCCCCACACACACACCCCCGGCCTAGATAGGCTCACATTTTGCTGCTCTGCCTCCTCTTGGTGGCTTGAGCGGTAGCTCCTCTAGCAGAGGTGGGGCTCTATGACCCTTTTACGGCTGGTGGACTTCAACTCCCAGAATTCCTGAGCCAGCATGGAGTTGGAAGCCTACAAGGCCTCAACAGGGCCAGAGTTGCCCAACTCTGCTCTTAACTGCTCCAATTATTATCATTGTTTTTTTAAAAAACCAAAATGAACTTTCCTGTAGCTTGCCAGCCTTTGGCCTATTGGCTTGCCAGGTTGACCGATGCCATTTTCATTCCGTTTGCCCAATGCGTCTTAGAGCCGGTGCTTTTTTAGTCCTCAAAACGCTGCCTCAGGTATGGTTGGAGGTTGGGGCAGCTGCCGCGAAGCTGCTAACCTGCGTCTTCTCTCCTCCCTTCTCCTAGCAGTCAGCATTTCCTCCTGGCCAGGCGGCACCTGTGGTTTTTAACCCAGCGCAAGCTACCCAAATGAATACGCCTTCTCAGCCTCGACCGGTAAGAAGGAGGCGGCGAACCACCAGGGCTGCGGCTCTCGGAGCTGCAAGATTCTTTCTTTCTTTCTTTCTTTCTTTCTTTCTTTCTTTCTTTCTTTCTTTCTTTCTTTCTTTCTTTCTTTCTTTCTTTCTTTCTTTCTTTCTTTCTCTCTCTCTCTCTCT